CACATGTATGAATGGTTGTGTTGTGGCACTACCAAAACATGTTGCACTGCTTTACCACTAACAAAAAATATACATTACACACACACTCACATAAAAAAACATACGAATTCATTTTATTATGAGTTTTTTGTTGGGGTTCTGGCTCTGATTTTATTAAATACAAAAAATGAAATACATAAAACACAAGACATTTATCACCTACAAATACAAATGCAAAAGTTCATATACATATAGAACAGAAAATTTTGATTGTGTGTAAAAAAATATCCTTTTTCCGTTTTGCATATGATTGCTGGAGTTTGGTATAAAATTATATGTATATATGTGTGAGTGAATGAGTATGTATGCAGTCTCTAGTATATTTTCTCCTTTAGTGGACTTTGGCAACATTTGTCGTAACTTATGATGAATGCTGGGAGTAGAGAAGTTGCTGTTTGGTTTCTGCTGCAACTCTACCACTATCATCGCCACCACATACATACATTTGCATGAATTTATTTATTTTGGTATGAATAAATAAATGAACGTTTCAGTGTTTGTAAGAGTTTGAATAAATTTCTACCGGATGTAGAAAATATAATAAAGTAGGTATACATATTGCTATTACACATGTATATGCATTTTGATTAAACTTTTAAATGTTTGTTTAAAGTTATTTTTTAGTTTTATTTAAAATATTTGTGTTGTTGGGGAATATATATTTATATAAAACACAAATATTAGTAAAAAATATCAGGTATTTAGAGAAATTTCAATTTAGAAAGAAGAAGAACCAAGAAGAAAATAGTGGAACTATTCTTAAATTCAATCAAGACTTTACATGGTTTATTTTATGTACCTAGATTCAATATTATAGTACCATTTGATGAATAAAGAAGTACCAAAATATGCTTCTTTTAGATTTTCATTTAATCATGATCATTCATGTCTTATTTTAAAAATTTCATTCTGTTTTTGCACTCTAGAGCGTATACTTAATGCAAAGGTAAGTTTCCCGTACATATGTCTCATACGTACTGTTGCACTAATAAATCAATTAAAACATAAGTTTTCATTTCTAATCATAAAATTGCAAATAAATATTCTTATTAACATCAAAACATTAACCTAAAATTGCATAATTCTCCCCCTCCCCAAAAAACTTATTATTTCTCCTAAATTTAACAATGCAATTTTTCTTTTTCCTAAAAATAAATCTTATACTCACAATTCAACGTTTGCAATAATAAATTAAATTTTTTCTACACATTATAATTTTTTCACATTTCTCATTTCATATTATGACATAAAACTAAAAATTGCTTCCACTAGATTAAGAAAAAAAAAAAATATGAGAAATATTTCGAAACAAACTGCAATATAAAATCCCTTTATGAAATAGAATGCATAAGTGTTCATATTTACAAAAGGGAAATTGAAGAACTAAGTTCATTTATAAGTTTTATTTAAATGTTAGTTAGAAAGATGCTAGAGAAAGAAAATACAATTATGTATTTAAAATCACTACCGAGTCCAAAGAGCTATTATTCTTGAATACATTATTACAAATGTATCATATTTTTAGAATAAGTGTTTGTATATTTGTATGTTATAGTTTGAAATATGATATTTGACCTCAATATCATCATTTGTTTCATTTCATTATTATTTTTGTCTTTTTTTCCTTTTCTGAAATTCAAACGTTGTTTTTTTGAATATAGTCTCCTTTTACGACTGTTATGGTCATGGTGAATGATTTTTTTGAACTAAAAATAATTCAAAGTAAAGGAAAAGAAAGATATTTATAAATATAAATACAGTTCTGGAAATAAGTGTAAGGTTTGTGAATTAGAAGCAAAAAAAGTACCAAAACAAAATATTATGAGCAAACTTCCGAAACAATCGTCGAAAATATTTTCAAGAATTGAGAAATTTTCTCAAACAATGACTAGATTAAAGACTAGACTATTCACTAGACTATAGACTAGACTATAGACTAGACTATAGACTAGACTATAGACTAGACTATAGATTAGACTATAGACTAGACTATAGACTAGACTATAGACTATAGACTAGACTATAGACTAGACTATAGACTAGACTATAGACTAGACTATAGACTAGACTATAGACTAGACTACTAGACTAGACTATAGACTAGACTATAGACTAGACTATAGACTAGACTATAGACTAGACTATAGACTAGACTATAGACTAGACTATAGACTAGACTATAGACTACACTATAGACTAGACTATAGACTAGACTATAGACTAGACTATAGACTAGACTATAGACTAGACTATAGACTAGACTATAGACTAGACTATAGACTAGACTATAGACTAGACTATAGACTAGACTATAGACTAGACTATAGACTAGACTATAGACTAGACTATAGACTAGACTATAGACTAGACTATAGACTAGACTATAGACTAGACTATAGACTAGACTATAGACTAGACTATAGACTAGACTATAGACTAGACTATAGACTAGACTATAGACTAGACTATAGACTAGACTATAGACTAGACTATAGACTAGACTATAGACTAGACTATAGACTAGACTATAGACTAGACTATAGACTAGACTATAGACTAGACTATAGACTAGACTATAGACTAGACTATAGACTAGACTATAGACTAGACTATAGACTAGACTATAGACTAGACTATAGACTAGACTATAGACTAGACTATAGACTAGACTATAGACTAGACTATAGACTAGACTATAGACTAGACTATAGACTAGACTATAGACTAGACTATAGACTAGACTATAGACTAGACTATAGACTAGACTATAGACTAGACTATAGACTAGACTATAGACTAGACTATAGACTAGACTATAGACTAGACTATAGACTAGACATAGACTAGACTATAGACTAGACTATAGACTAGACTATAGACTAGACTATAGACTAGACTATAGACTAGACTATAGACTAGACTATAGACTAGACAATAGACTAGACTATAGACTAGACTATAGACTAGACTATAGACTAGACTATAGACTAGACTATAGACTAGACTATAGACTAGACTATAGACTAGACTATAGACTAGACTAGACTATAGACTAGACTAGACTATAGACTAGACTAGACTATAGACTAGACTATAGACTAGACTATAGACTAGACTATAGACTAGACTATAGACTAGACTATAGACTAGACTATAGACTAGACTATAGACTAGACTATAGACTAGACTAGACTATAGACTAGACTAGACTATAGACTAGACTATAGACTAGACTAGACTATAGACTAGACTAGACTATAGACTAGACTATAGACTAGACTATAGACTATACTATAGACTAGACTATAGACTAGACTATAGACTAGACTATAGACTAGACTATAGACTAGACTATAGACTAGACTATAGACTAGACTATAGACTAGACTATAGACTAGACTATAGACTAGACTATAGACTAGACTATAGACTAGACTATAGACTAGACTATAGACTAGACTATAGACTAGACTATAGACTAGACTATAGACTAGACTATAGACTAGACTATAGACTAGACTATAGACTAGACTATAGACTAGACTATAGACTAGACTATAGACTAGACTATAGACTAGACTATAGACTAGACTATAGACTAGACTATAGACTAGACTATAGACTAGACTATAGACTAGACTATAGACTAGACTATAGACTAGACTATAGACTAGACTATAGGCTAGACTATAGACTAGACTATAGACTAGACTACTATACTATAGACTAGACTATAGACTAGACTATAGACTAGACTATACTAGACTAGATAACTATAGACTAGACTATAGACTAGACTATAGACTAGACTATAGACTAGACTATAGACTAGACTATAGACTAGACTATAGACTAGACTATAGACTAGACTATAGACTAGACTATAGACTAGACTATAGACTAGACTATAGACTAGACTATAGACTAGACTATAGACTAGACTATAGACTAGACTATAGACTAGACTATAGACTAGACTATAGACTAGACTATAGACTAGACTATAGACTAGACTATAGACTAGACTATAGACTAGACTATAGACTAGACTATAGACTAGACTATAGACTAGACTATAGACTAGACTATAGACTAGACTATAGACTAGACTATAGACTAGACTATAGACTAGACTATAGACTAGACTATAGACTAGACTATAGACTAGACTATAGACTAGACTATAGACTAGACTATAGACTAGACTATAGACTAGACTATAGACTAGACTAGACTATAGACTAGACTATAGACTAGACTATAGACTAGACTATAGACTAGACTATAGACTAGACTATAGACTAGACTATAGACTAGACTATAGACTAGACTATAGACTAGACTAGACTAGACTATAGACTAGACTATAGACTAGACTATAGACTAGACTATAGACTAGACTATAGACTAGACTATAGACTAGACTATAGACTAGACTAGACTAGACTATAGACTAGACTATAGACTAGACTATAGACTAGACTATAGACTAGACTATAGACTAGACTATAGACTAGACTATAGACTAGACTATAGACTAGACTATAGACTAGACTATAGTCTATAGTCTAGTCTATAGTCTAGTCTATAGTCTAGTCTATAGTCTAGTCTATAGTCTAGTCTATAGTCTAGTCTATAGTCTAGTCTATAGTCTAGTCTATAGTCTAGTCTATAGTCTAGTCTATAGTCTAGTCTATAGTCTAGTCTATAGTCTAGTCTATAGTCTAGTCTATAGTCTAGTCTATAGTCTAGTCTATATATAGACTAGACTATAGACTAGACTATAGACTAGACTATAGACTAGACTATAGACTAGACTAGACTAGACTAGACTAGACTAGACTAGACTAGACTAGACTATAGACTAGACTATAGACTAGACTATAGACTAGACTATAGACTGGACTATAGACTAGACTAATATATTCAAATTTTAGTATATATTGTATAGGTAAGAAATTTATCATAATTTTGACGTTATTTTCGAGCTGTTAATACATAATCGCTTTACGACCCAGAGTGCAATGTCTGTCTATCCATAATTTCAGTATTAAAGGTCATATTTATATAAGGTAAAATATATTTAAACGCAATTACGATTAATATGAACATTTTTTGATTTCAGAATTTTTGCCTAAAATCACATTTAAGAATATTTGTAAATAACCCACACTGTAATTGAATTCAAAACGTTTATACAAAGATTTATATTTGGTTGTTTGCATATACTTTACATAGACAATACATAGTATTGTATTTAAAATAAATACAACAACTATAATAATAAAACAACAGAAAGAACCAAAAAAGAGAAAAAATAATAATAATAACAATAACATTTCATATGTACTTACTTGATATGAATGAAAGCACAAGAATCATATCTAATGCCACTTGAAACCACTTCATCTCATTTCCCCTTTTGTGATGTTTTTTTGTTCTTGTTTTCTGCTTATATCCTTTATGTAGTTGTTCTTGTTGCTGTTGCTGTTTTTGATTTTGTATTTTTTTTTTTTGTGGTGCGATGAGCAAAAATTCGTTGGTGCCCTCTTTGTTTAAGAAAACCGAAACAACAAAACAAAAATATGCAAAACAAAAGATCAAGTTGAAAATCTTTTTTGTTTTTCTTTACGTTCCACACTCTCTCTTTCTGAATGTATACAAATTTTAGTTTTGTTGTTGTCGTCGTTGTTGTTTGCTGTTGTCTAAGTCCTTTTTTGCTGCAATTGTTAAAGACAGGGTTGGTGGTTGTTGATGTTGTTGCTGCTTTGGTAGGTGGTAGTGATGTTGTGGTTTGAAGAAGCCTTAATAAAGCAATGGATGATTTCTACCCGTTGGCATGCGAAGGAGCAAACAATGAATTGGGAAATATGAGTCGAAAAAATGACAATGAAGTATTTAAAGGAAAAATGTGGTAAAGCAATAGTTTTTGTTTTTGTTTGCAGTTACTATGTTTTTTTCAGGAGGTTTTGTTAATTTAGTTCTAAAGCAAAAGTTCTGCTGCTACTGCTGTTTTGTTGGCTGCTGCTGCTCTTGCTGTCAATTGTCCAGAGTAAAAATGTAAGCACTTTTAAAAATCTTTGAAACAATGGCAATCATTATGTTATTGTTGTTGCTGTTTTTCTTTCTTTGCAGTTATTGTTATTAATTTTTATGTTATTATTTTAATTTTTATAGATAATTAAAGAAAATTTTAAGTATTTAACGTTTTGTTGTTGTTGTCCGGTTTTAAGGAAATCTCGTAGTTGTTAGTATTAGTTATACAATTCGTTGTAGCTTAAGTAGTTTAAAAACTTTTTGTAGTTCGTTATTTTTTCTTAGCGGTGGTTGTAGAGAGTGTGTGAAAGAGCTGCAAAGCCACAAATGACAAATTTTAAACAGAGAGAGATATATAGAGTAGAGTGCAAGACAAAGGGAGATTAAATGTTAGATTTAGAAACCAACCCAAAGTAAAATGCTTTTTTGCTATCTGAAGCCTTGTTTAAGCGTGTTACTAAAGCCACAACTACTACATTTAAGCCACCAACTTAAATATTCTAAATTTGTAGTTTTACTTAAACTGCTGCCAGGAAAGTAGTTTTGCAGTCGTAGCAATTGTAGTCTCAAACGTAATTTTATGGGTGGTAGTTGTGTTCTTATTAGAGGTGGTGTGGCTGGTTGTTGTAGTGTTAATAGAAATGTAACAGCTTGTCGCTTTTGTGTTGCTGTTATGTTGTATGCAGTAGTAGTAGTAGTAACTGTTGTGTTTGTAGCTAATGATGTTGTTGTCGTTGTTGTGGCTGTTAATGATGCTTTAGCCGCTGTGGGGGTTCCCGTTGAAAATGTCTGCTTCAATACGCCAACCACGTAATGTGTTTCTGTATGATGTCTTGCTGTTGCTGCTGCTGTTGTTGTTTTTGTTGTTTCAATTACAAACGCGGATTCATTCATTGGTAGCGAGCGTCGTTAATAATAATTTCGTAAAATTTTTTAGTGTCTTTAAGAAAGTTTTGATTTGTTTTGTTTTTCTTTAAAGTTTTTCCTTTTTATTAATTTACCTCTACAGCCTCTTGGCTTTTTTGGCATTTGTATAACTTATCATTTTTAGTTGTTTTTTTCATCCTTCATAAAGCCAACTTTCAATTAAAGGTTTTTCTGTTTGTTGCTTTAACCCTGTGGCAGGCTATTAAAAATTTTTGTTTCGTTTTATAGTCCTTGTTTTTTTCCTCTTGACTCCTCTTTGCAACTACTTTGATTGACTGTTGTGTTTTGGAATTTGTCAAGTCGTTGATTTCACATTCATGGTTTTTGTTCTGAAATTGTTGGCTGTTTTTTTTAGGGAGGTGTTGTTGTATTAGTTCTTTTGTGGCAGCTTTTTATTGTTTTTTTTTTTCTTTTGTTGCAGTTTTTTGTTTTTATTTTCAATTTGAAAATTACTTTTTAATATATTTCATGTATTTGTTGTTTTCATTACAATGGCAGTTATTGTTTGTTTTTTTCTTATACTCCTTAATTGTAATTAATTTCCCTTAAATTTTTATTTAAATTTACTTCTAGTCTACTTAAATTTAGTGCTGTAATGAAAAGAAAATTGTGGAAAATAATTTAAATTAAGATTCCAAACTTACATTTTTTTAAGTTTTGTAGAAATATTTCTTAATTTTATTTAAAGTTTATATATGTATATAAATAGAATGCAACACTTTTCTATAAATTTTGTTCTTGGAACAAAGTAATCTTTGTATTTATTTATTATTGTAAATAACAATTTGTACCTTTTTAATCCAAAAAGGGTGGCAACAAAGGCTAATTGCTTTTTTTAAGTATTATTATTAGCAAAAAAAGTAGACAAATTAGGTCACCTTAAACTTCACCTGCCTTTTCTTCCTATTATTTGAAACCTTAAGGACTTAAAGATAAAAGGTATAGAAATTTATTTGGATGCCTTTAAACAAAGCTCTTGCTTGTTTACTTGAGCAATCTTTTAAACATCTTAAAATACAAATAAATAAAGCAAAAAGAAACCTTTAAAATTTAAACAAAACCTAAAAAAACTTAAAAACACAAGCATGTACTTTGTAGAGTATCTTGCACCCTTCACACTCTGCAGTAGGCATTGTTAATGACATGTTTCTGTAATGGACATATTAGTTCAGCGGTCGAGTTAGATATTACAGTTCTAGTTCAGCTCTAGTTCAGCTCTAGTTCATTTCAAGTTCAGTTCTAGTCAGTTCTAGTTCAGTTCTAGTTCAGTTCTAGTTCAGTTCTAGTTCAGTTCTAGTTCAGTTCTAGTTCAGTTCTAGTTCAGTTCTATTCATTCTAGTTCAGTTCTAGTTCAGTTCTAGTTCAGTTCTAGTTCAGTTCTAGTTCAGTTCTAGTTCAGTTCTAGTTCAGTTCTAGTTAGTTCTAGTTCAGTTCTAGTTCAGTTCTAGTCAGTTCAGTTCGTCAGTTCTAGTTCAGTTCTAGTTCAGTTCTAGTTCAGTTTCTAGTTCAGTTCTAGTTCAGTTCTAGTTCAGTTCTAGTTCAGTTCTAGTTCAGTTCTAGTTCAGTTCTAGTTCAGTTCTAGTTCAGTTCTAGTTCAGTTCTAGTTCAGTTCTAGTTCAGTTCTAGTTCAGTTCTAGTTCAGTTCTAGTTCAGTTCTAGTTCAGTTCTAGTTCAGTTCTAGTTCAGTTCTAGTTCAGTTCTAGTTCAGTTCTAGTTCAGTTCTAGTTCAGTTCTAGTTCAGTTCTAGTTCAGTTCTAGTTCAGTTCTAGTTCAGTTCTAGTTCAGTTCTAGTTCAGTTCTAGTTCAGTTCTAGTTCAGTTTCTAGTTCAGTTCTAGTTCAGTTCTAGTTCAGTTCTAGTTCAGTTCTAGTTCAGTTCTAGTTCAGTTCTAGTTCAGTTCTAGTTCAGTTCTAGTTCAGTTCTAGTTCAGTTCTAGTTCAGTTCTAGTTCAGTTCTAGTTCAGTTCTAGTTCAGTTCTAGTTCAGTTCTAGTTCAGTTCTAGTTCTAGTTCTAGTTCAGTTCTAGTTATTAGTTCAGTTCTAGTTCAGTTCTAGTTCAGTTCTAGTTCAGTTCTAGTTCAGTTCTAGTTCAGTTCTAGTTCAGTTCTAGTTCAGTTCTAGTTCAGTTCTAGTTCAGTTCTAGTTCAGTTCTAGTTCAGTTCTAGTTCAGTTTCTAGTTCAGTTCTAGTTCAGTTCTAGTTCAGTTCTAGTTCAGTTCTAGTTCAGTTCTAGTTCAGTTCTAGTTCAGTTCTAGTTCAGTTCTAGTTCAGTTCTAGTTCAGTTCTAGTTCAGTTCTAGTTCAGTTCTAGTTCAGTTCTAGTTCAGTTCTAGTTCAGTTCTAGTTCAGTTCTAGTTCAGTTCTAGTTCAGTTCTAGTTCAATTCTAGTTCAGTTCTAGTTCATTACTATAAGGATTGCTCGATTATAGAATTTATGTAGATTTCCTCTTAAAAATGCCTGTATTTACATCCATTTATTCCCAGAAAACAACATACCGAAAATCTGTTTCAATTTACTACTAGTTGTTGTAGGGTATTATATGTTCGTTTAGTTAGTAGTTTTTTTTATACTATTATTCTTTTCTCCAGGTGGTTATTATAAAAAACACAAGAGATCTTGATAAAAATTGCCTGCAAGTTCTTGGACACCTAAAGCGACATTCAGTGTCTTTCATCTTTTACAAAAAGTACACTTTGTAAATTGTAAATGTATTTTCACTTTTTTTTATTTTCTTATTATAATATTTTTTTGCTCTTACAAAAAGGTAAGTAGAAAACAAAGAAAAAAAATAAATTTGTACTCATAAAATCATAATGAACCCAATATAAATTTTCCTTTTTAATGGCATTTTAAAAAGGCTAAGAAAAAGAAAAATTTATCAAACAAAACAGCAAAAGCAGCCATTTTAATAAAAAAAAACTGTCACCCCCTTTTTGAGTTAAAAATCTAAAAATGAAAAATATAAGTTTACAAACTAATACCAGCCACTACTAATAATAATAAATGTGATTGAAGATACATACAAATGTGAATATACAAACAGACAAACATTTTCATATTCATACAGAAACCAGCGTAAATATTTCAGAATTGCTTGTTTGCCTGAATACGGAATATGAATAAAAATCGTATTCATAGTCATGAATACAACATTTAAATTCCACTTCTTGTTTCTTTTTTTATAAACAATTTTTTGTCTAAAGAAAAAAAAAAAACAACTTAGTTTTTTTCTTTATTTCTGTTGAATCGTTTTATATTTATAAAAAAATAAAGAATGAATGGAAGAAATAAAGAAAATAACACAACCATTTTACATTTTATTCCCTCGAGCTTTGAATGAACACTCTTACTTTCATTGTACCATTTGAGTAGAAGAATATTCCTTTTCATTGCAGGTTCAGTGGTGCTTCTGCAGCTGCTGTTGTTGCCAGTGGTGATGGGAGTCTCACTCTCACACTTTCGCCTTTTCTAACGCTCGCTCTAACACTGAGACTGAATGATAGGGAAGTAAGACTCATATAAATAATAGATTCATGTGGGACACACTTTTAAGATGAATTGTGGCAACAGGACAAGGTAATAATTTTTAAAGAATATTTCAAGTGAAATTTCTAGGGACTACAATTGAAAATAATTAAAATATTAACGAAGAGTTTTTCTCTATTTACTACTTCGATGAGACTGAAGATTATGCTTCTTTTCTGTGATTAGTTATACTAATAAATTAACTAAAAGAGTTCGTATTTACTGTATTATATAAGCTACTTCAGTTTTACCACTTAAAGATAATTCAAAAACCTTAAAGAAAAAACGGCTAAAAACTCAAGATATTACAATATCTTCCCTTAAATTAAAAACGAAAAGTAACACCCACAATTCGCTCGCCTTTCCCTCCTTAATTTTTTATAATTCTCAAACACTTTCAGGCCACGTGTAAAAACATTCACACTCATTAAAAAATCTTAAAGTGTTCACCTGGGTATTCATCCCAGGTTATTTATCTCTCAGCACTTTATATACATACATATTTATGTATATGAAAGAATGAATGAGTGTTGATATGTATGTGTTAAGTATAAACGTTTAGTATAGTATGTATTTAGGCGTAAGCTTTTGTGTAAATTTCAAAGCTTCTTTCTTAGGTTTCATGTTTTTTTATTTTAGCTATTGTTTACACAAACAGTGGGAGATTAGGCTAATATAAAGGAATGAATTAAAAATATATTGAAATAATATCAAACCTGCTATAATTTGAAACTTAAATTCTTAATAACAACTATTTATTTATGCAAGACTTATTTAAACTCCTTCAAACGTTAAAACTAATTCAAACATGTTATGAATTAAAATTAAATAAGGGACCTTGATAAGTCTAATTTTTCTTTTCACTTTCAATGCTGAAAATAAATCGATAACCCATACAGAATATTTGTATATATTGTCACTTGAATGGAATGTTAAGTTTCAATTGCCTGTCATTCACTGTGGAAGTAAGACATGTTTAGTCCTGCAGAACCCATCAGTTTCAATCAGAGTCAATGTCTCCCTTTTACACTGCATATTCTCCACGTCTGAACTAGAACTGAACTTGAACTGAACTAGAACTGAACTAGAACTAAATTAGAACTGAACTAGAACTGAACTAGAACTGAACTAGAACTGAACTAGAACTGAACTAGAACTGAACTAGAACTGAACTAGAACTGAACTAGAACTGAACTAGAACTGAACTAGAACTGAACTAGAACTGAACTAGAACTGAACTAGAACTGAACTAGAACTGAACTAGAACTGAACTAGAACTGAACTAGAACTGAACTAGAACTGAACTAGAACTGAACTAGAACTGAACTAGAACTGAACTAGAACTGAACTAGAACTGAACTAGAACTGAACTAGAACTGAACTAGAACTGAACTAGAACTGAACTAGAACTGAACTATAACTGAACTAGAACTGAACTAGAACTGAACTAGAACTAGAACTGAACTAGAACTGAACTACCGAATTGCAGGGTGGTCTGTTTTTTGCCTGAGAGTGGCTGTCTGTCTCTCTGTACGTATGAAAATGTCTTCTTCCTATCAAACGTTTTATTTGAGAATCTCACTTACCTTTGCACTCAGGCACTTTTTCTTGTTGAAATCCCTCATAAAACAAATGAATAAAAATGGTAACAAAACCGAAACCGAGACCAAAATCTAAAACCAACAACAATTTGGTATAAGAAGCATCATCAGCCGCCCTAACAACAACTTCTAGGCATTTAATTTCAATGCAAGTTTTCTAAACGTACAAACAAGATGAAAGATCCCCAATGATGATGAACGCCTGCAGGGGCTTTACACCAATGTGAGGGGTGCATGTAATAGATACGATTTAACTTTCATTTATGTTGGCTCTTTCTTTTTTTGGTGCCACAGTTACAATCATCAGCACAAATTTACGTGTATATATGTATGTTTTAAACTTGTACTTAAACTGAGTTGTTGGTTTTTTATTTTATTGTTATTGTAAGTCTTCTTTTGTTTTAAGTGTTTTGTCTTTTCAAAATTCTCCTTATAAATGTTTTGTTGTTGTGGAGAATATTTGGTTC